ATGAATTTGAATATAGATTTTAAAATCATAGAACCAATAACAATGAATTTGAATAGGGATTTTAAAATCATAGAACCAATAACATTATATTTGATTTGTATTTTCAAATCCACTAAAATATACAAACCAATAACACCCTCTAATATATTTTATAGATTCTGTTGGAAATAAAAATATCTGAATAAATATAGCAATTAATGCAAATTAATGCAGAGTATCATGGACGAAAATAAAAGTATATATACATAAAATTTGTGGTTAAAAAATAGTATACATAAACTGATAAAAGTAGGGAAGACTACAAATGATATAAATGCCAATTATCTACAAAATTAAGGATCATATTTTAATCATACTTATGCAAGAAATATGTTTTTCAAAATTTTCAAATGTACTGATTTTTTTTTTTGGGGGGGGGGGTTGGAAAAGGGAAATATGTGATATTCATTTTGTGTCCACACTTGACTATTGTGGGATATAGAGAGCAAACTTTACTTTTAAATTTAAAGTATATCAATATATATATATATATATTAAAATTTTATTTACATTGAAAATTAAAACCTTCAAAATAAATTTAATTTCATTATAAATACGTACCCGTGCAAGGCACGGGAGATAATACTAGTACTTGATTATTTTAAAAGTCACAGTTTCACAATAACGTTTGAAAATAGTGCTCCTTCTCATAGCTAATGACTTTATTTTAGTTGCTTCCTCCTGTTTTCGTGCTTTGTAAAAACTAAGTCAAATAATGGTACTCCCTAAATTCCTTAAACATTATGTAGTGATTAAAAAAATACTATTGAGTTGAGTAACATGGATTTTGCAATGAATAAAGACGGATATTGAAAATTTTGGATAATAATCAAATACATATCCAAAATAATCACATAGCCTAGATCTTGATATTTCCAAATATCTAACAGACTAACACATAAGTAAACCTATTTCTATCAACAGCATCAATTGGTCTGACAAAAAAATGAAGAAGGTATACTTCGATGCTACGCGGAAACTCATTTGAAAAAGAACAAAAATAAATTAACTCTTTTTTTTGAAAAATAAAAATAAACTAACTTCGGTAGAGTGTTTCACATATGTCCGAGTCCTTTTGATTTGAATTACGTGGTAAACAGGACATGATTGTGCTTCCATAAAACGTAACATCATAAAAACTAGGGTGCAACCGTGCAAGCAAACTTCGTAATGCACACGTATTGAAACGTTATAAGCACATCTAATACATCACTAATTAGTGTACTTCTAAAATGGTACGCGTAGCGACTATAGCTGTGGTGGTCGGAGCATGATCAAATGCATTTAGTCACCTTTTAAAAGTCTGTATAAAATATCATAGAATATTAGAATCGCATTATCTAAAATAAAATTTTTGCCAAGGGACATAAATATAGCCGTAACCTTAGGTTGATATTTTTTGAGAAAGGAAAAAAGTATAACAATGATCACTCAAAATCTTTTAAACTTCAAATATTTATTGTATCAACTTTAAATCACCTTTTAACATTTTTTGTAGCGATTTTCTTTTGTGTGGGAGCTATACATATGTTCTACACTTGTTAGATATGTTCTCTTGGTTGTTATTAGTTGTTACTCATAGTTAGTCCTTATTTTATTTGACTTTTTTGTTTAGTAAGGATTTATATAGTAGTCTTCTTCTCTGTTATTAATCAGAGGATACACCAAAATCCAACTAATCCCCATGAAACTGTAAAATAATAATTAGTTCGGTTTTGGATTTTTAGTGAGTGCTCAAACATGATTCTATCTTTGTCTGCTCAAGTAGTAGCATTTTTGTTTCCAGCAAAACCGAGACTCGAACCAACAGATCTATGCTTTACTCCATATCAACTTTTACCACTTGGTTTTTATAGTCTGGTCTTCTTTTAGTACTTAAGCTTATAATATAAGTAAATCCTCCAGTTATTTGTTGTGTCCACATCAATGAACAAGTAGACAAGTATTGAGAAAGGGAGAGTGTATGGCTGAAGGTATTTTTCCATTCATACGCCATGATGAGAAGATACTCGACGCCATACTTTACCCGTCCAGTATTCAAGACAGCTCGTGGGTAAATCATTACTCTTCGCGATATACTCGAAACCTAATTAAAACTCTACTATGCTTTCAAATCACTAAACCTAAAAAAGCCCACGACCTTTTTGCGATTCCTCGCGATCATTTATTTAATGCATGCCCATTTCCTTAAATCAACTAACCACTCATGAATTGTTTGAACTTTTCTTAAAATTTTATTTGGTTGAGCTAACTAATTAATCACTCGTGATTTTATTTAAACCACTCTACTGACAACTTGGGTTAATTAAAAGTACCTAGAGGAATATTGTCAATAAGTTATGAAACTGTTGGTCGCTTGTTTGTTTCTGATAGATGAAAAAAGCTCCCTTATATAATGAGTTGTGACGGTGTTTAGGTGGAATAAACCTTTCATCAGGCGCTATGATTTTCATAAAGGCTACCTTATTTTCAAAACTAGATTAATTTTGTTTTCAAGAGAGTTATTCAAAAAAATTTAATCACAAAACACCTAAACACAAAACACTTAATAATGATACTATCACAAAACACTTAATAATGCAATTTATGTTTTGCACTAAAACACCTAAACACAAATACATTTTTGTAGGAACTTTAACAAACACGAATAAATTTGTCAGATGGAATATACTCCATATTTCATTTGTAGCTTGTGATTAATGCTTATATGCAAATTACAGTATTACGTGCTTAATTGGCTGCGAAATGTAGGAGTCAGGAAATATATCTATTATCAATATGTTTATTTATATGTATGACAATTGACAAGCATGGTTTTATTTTTTGAATAATGCATGGCTACAACTTAGGCGACGTTGTTAAAAATAAATAAATGACGGTCCTTATCAGTTTAATCACGAGTAGGAACGGGGAACGGGAAGAAAACAAACAGTTTCTTTTACAGTTGGACCAATAGAACTAAGCTGGCACACAAAGGGGGTCCTATGTTTATACTATTGGACTGTCACGGCCCATCTTAAATATGTCGTAGCATCCACGACATAGACGGTGACACATGGCGAAAATGTTCGCCGGCCAAGATTACGGCCACGTCATCGAAACTTCTGAGTTTTCCACCTGTCAAAGCTGCCGTCATAGATTACGATGTTTTGTTCTGTTTTATTTTTGTTTGCGCGTAATCTTGGATCCGCCACACCAAAAGGAAGCGATTCCAACTCTATTAGGCGAGAGCCGCGAGACTAGTCTTTAGTTCATACTACATATCGATGCTTGAGTAATACGTTTTACATATAAGGCACAAACAGATTTTGATTCAACCATTAGATTAATAATCTGTCTCCTCTGCGCCAAAAATAAAAGTTTAGAGATGAACAATGTTGAATTCTACTATATATGTTATCACACTTATCACTTATGCTTATTATGAGTCTAGTAGTAGTGGCCTAGTAGTGAAAAACTTAAAGACAAGTAGTTAAACCACTATCTTTTGAGTTCAATTTTTCACTACGAACACTTCACCTTTCTGATATGTTGAATGCTCTATGCTTTAGGCACATAAGAATATCTAGCTAATAGATTTTAAATTGGTTATTCATCTGGAAGATTAGCTAGGCTCAAAACCCAATCAAATTACAATCTCTTGGTCTAGATATTGTGCATACCACTAAATACAAAAGCAATTTTGAAAAAAAATGTAACCTTATCTTACAACAAATCATTCAGTTCGTCGTTTTTTTTAATGAATTTATATCTTTGCCGCGTCTGCTTTCCTTTGTCTTTTAGGATTTGTAATATCATTTTTTCTCGGCATGTGGTTTTTCACCCATAAAACAAATTTTAGCTAAGTTGCTTACAAATTTTTTTTCTATACAAGCTAAAAAGCTTCAAAATAATGCTTTTTGTTTTTCAGTTATATAATATGAAAAATACATGAACAACAATTGTTGTTCGTCCAGCCAAAATCTCTAAAACACAACAGTAACCAAATCACCCAAAAACTATATAAATCACTTAAATCAACCCAATTTTCTTCATTATCAATCAATCTTGTTAAAAATCATAATAATAAACGTAAATCATACCTATGGCAACACAAATTTTGAATAAAATATGCTGTATCCTCGTGATTGCAATGTTTTCGAGGTATATCAAAAATATCTCATTGTACCACATTCGACGTTTGTATTAAGCATTGTGTTTCAAACCAATGTTTGAACACGTTGAAAGATGCAACTCATGATGTATGTGAAAGCGGTTGCAAAAAAAATGTGCAAAGAACAACACAAAACAAGTGGTGTACAATTCATTGTGCACTCTCCAGTAATTGAGGAACCAAAGGCTGGCATATGCAATTATATGAGGGTTTTGGATGCCAAGTTGTTTTATTATACTCTTTAAGGAAACTATTCAACATATATATTTGTATCTCCCTATGTATATGTATGTAACTTTTGTACTATTGTATCAATCACCCTTTTTTATTTTTTAATGTGCATGCATATATATGTCTAATAGATACAACAGAGGTTATCTGAAAAGATGGCAACTTCAAATCCATTTATCAAAAAAACAAACACTTCAAATCCATCTACCGAACAGATCCAACAGATGGAGAAGAAAACCATTCCAAGTCATTTTGGTTACTTAAATCCACCATAGCTAATTAACAAGTTAACATTACGATTGGTAGCCAATTGACATCATCAAAATTTCAGACTTAATTAGTATTTATTTCGAATTTTTATATTCTTACGTTTTTTCGGGTTAGTGATCGTTGGAGTCACCATCTTTGAGAATGAACGTTTAAGCATAGTTTTCTTTCTGAAAACAAATTAATGCAGCATTAAGCATTTCTTGTGTTTAATCATGATTTTACTGATAAATGATTTAAGATTTTGTTGATATGATGAGTTTAAGTATATCTCTATAATCTATTCACGTATTCGTGCATACCTCCGGGCATGAACCAGTATATTAGCTTTGTGACATCTGAAGCTAACCAAATTTGCCAATCTGCGCAACGTACGACAATAACTGCTGACGATATCCTTTCGGCTATGAGAAATCTTGGGTTAGACGATTACGTTGAACCACTTGGTGTGTTCATTAATCGGTACCGTCTGTCCGAGACCGATCGTGAATATACAGTTAGAGGTGAGTCATCCCAGGGCCCACCTCCTCCGGGTCCTTATGGTTGGATCAGTCTATGGTTATGGGTGGTGGTGAACTGGTGATTGGTACTACCCAAACGGGTCTATGGTTATGGGTGGTGGATCTTCGTCTTCTATGGATGAAATGCCATTTTTTGAAGTTCTTGATTATCTGCATGCCTATTTAAATTACATCTTGCATGTTTACATGTTTTGAATCCTACATATTTATGTCTAATTATGCATTTATGTTATCTTTACCTAAAGAAAAAAAAATTGTTGCATCTTTAAATAAAACTGTTAATTTCCCAACTTCAAATTCAATACTTATGTTAACTGATTTCAGAATTATTCATTTGGAAAATGGTATAAAACTGCATTTTTGTTGAAAAAAAAATATATTAGTTGGAAATCGTAACGAAACCAAGAATGTAACAAGAAGTTCAGTAAACCAATCCTACACATTATTAAATAAAGCAATATGGCATTGATAGAAAACTAGAAACACCCTCTTTAAAAGCCAACATAGAACATGCAGTAAAGACTCTATAAGTATGGACAAACCACACTATGTTAGGAAACTATATTACTTAAAGACAACCCCATATTCTTAACCAAGGTTAAAATTTTTTAACTATAGTAGTTAAATAACATTGATGAACCCCGGCCATTCTCCTCTTAGCTTAGCTTACTACATATCCTCGAGTTTTCTCCTCAATACTTCCTAAAACTTTGTTCTCGAGTCAGAAATGGATAATGGTGGTCCTTACAACCGTCGAGTAGCTCCCACTGTGATAATCGCACTCTTCGTCATGTTCAACACTCTCGGACCAATTCTTGCACCACCAACTAATCTCATCAACGCATCAAATCCATCACCAGGAATGACAGAAGCTGAGTTTCGAGTCAAACAAGTAGCAACAAATATCTTTTGGGCGTTCAGCAACTCAGCGTTTGCGTTGGCTCTGGCGGCAGTGTTATTACAAGTCGGGAAACTTGTAGGTCACGGAGCAAGTGAAGTTTGCGAAACAGTCTCTTTAATGCTTGTGATGTTCTCTCTTCTCTTCATGTCGTTTGCGGCAATGGGCGCCGTAGTTGTTAGGCTTTGTCCTTCTTCGTTGGTTTCTGCTTTCTCCCTAGTTCAAGGACTGTGTCTTCTGTTATCTGCCTATCTTTGCTCTTGCGTGTTCATCGCGGAGATTGTTGGATGAGATCATAAATCATATTTTTATTTAAGTTGATTAGTATAGTAATTCGTATTTACATTCTATATATGTTTTGAAGTTGTGTTATGTTTTATTTTGTTGGATTTATGATGATATCTATATCTTGCCTAATCATCATCAAAAGCTTTCATTCTTTAATTTGTTTTCATAAGATATAAGGAACAAGCACGTAACAGTCTTATTGTGGAAAAAATGTTAGAAGATTTAGGAAATGCAATCTGCATAACTAACGACTCACTGGATCACAAGAATCAATATCATAATTATTCATTAAAAAAAACAATAAAACAGTGTTTCATCTCTCTTCTCTAATGATTAGCAGACAATCAAAGGTCACAGCCGAGTTGGAGTGACTATAATCGATGACTCTGGTCGGGTAAGACCCGCAGAGTACCTTAATAGTGTCTGATTAGTTCTGCTAACCGGACACTAACGAAACGAAATTGTATAGCTTGTTGTGGTTCTTTTGAATGAAGTGAATCCATATTTCTCCTCATATGGGATTTCTATCACTCTTGTTGGGTTTATGGCCTGAAAGTTAAATGATGGGCTTTGAAATAGTGGGCCAAATACAAATTCAGTTTCTTCAGTCACTCATGGGAAATCACATGATAGTGGGTCTTCCAAAACTGATCACGTCGTGAGTAAGCTGATGTCATTTTTGATTACTGAGGCTGAACAAGTAACATGTATATCTTTACAATTTCAGTTTTTGCTTAACATGAGCGAGAGAAGTGAAATTGATTATGCATGATAAATAACATGCGTTTTTTTTTATTTTATCTTTCACACCTTTCATGATGGATGTTAGAAGTTGGCGCATATGCGAAAGTCTTCACCATTTCGTTTAGGCTGTGATTAGGTTTGCTGCAAACCGAATATAACTTGTCAAAAGTTTATTTGCTAGTGTTTCGTAGTTTTTAAAGTAACAATAAAACAAAACCTCTAAATTAAAATATGAACCGTCAAAGCCCTTTTTTTGTCAACGGCAAAGCCCTAAATATGTTTGTTTCCTGTTGGCTGTTGTATTCTTTGTAGGTGAGAAAGAGATGGAAGAATAATGGACATGCATAATTGTGTTAAACATTTTTGTACACGCTGCGTATAATGTGATTAGATTATTACAACTAATATAACAAAAGACAAAAAAATAGAAATAAAAGACGCGGACGGGTTTTTGCTAACTGGTAATCGAAAGTAGGAATCCAAATTAATGTTCAAGATATGTAAAAAGTGGGTTTTTGTTATCATTTAAAACGTCTCCAGGCCAATAATTAATGTAATTAAGGATTTGAATCCTAGCTCCTTAATTAACCGGACTGATCACCATAATTTATTGTCATATTTGCATCAAATCCAAGTACTTATTACTGGCTAAATGCAAATAACATTTTCACGAAAATATCATTTGGATTATGTTACTTATAAATAATTTAGTCAAATTCGGCAACATTTTATATATATAGTCGTCTTCAATATTATCAACATCGATTATACTCAACAGTTAATCACTCTTGTTGTTTTTATTTGTTTTACCGACCACAATATTATCAATTTCGTCGTCGAAACTACTTTGTGAAAATATTAGCAAGGCATGAATTTTGCGTTATACGTATTAATTCTCGTGGCTTCGGGATCTCTTATCTTAAGCCTTGGACACAAAAAACGAAAGGAATATCTTTAACTTGTACAACTATACAAGGATATTGATTCCTTATTATCAAATATAGTATATACGAATTCATGTTCTCATTATCAACTTTATCATGTGTACCAAATCGTCGTAAAATTGTTCAAAAACTTTATTATGGGTACCCAAAAAAACTTTTGTCATTTGCAAAGTTATTGGATCAAATGGAAAATATCATGACAACTAGTATCATATTGTTGTGTGATTGTGACAAGTACGAAATATATTGTTGGCTTCTCCATGTCGTTTCATCTAACTATATAACGACCGGTTATATCGCTATTTTTCATTTTATCATTTTGCAGAACAACCAAAGTTTATTCATTTATACACTTCCAAACACCAAACGTTATGTTTGGTGAGAATCTGTTTGTTCACAATAAGTTTGATTTGATCCAATCTTTCTCTTAATTTTCTTCGCCTTTAAATTTCTTTTGAAAAAGAAAGCAATTCCGTGTATACATAGTAATGAATCGATTTCAACCATCCTGCTGGCAGATCACCCACCATATTTTTTACCAAAAATAAAATGAAGTCAGCGATATTGTTGAATGTTGTATACACATAAGTTGACAATACGGTATTTATTGCATATATTTGAATAGTATATTGTATATGCTTGAATAGTAGATAGAGCTGACATAGTGGTGGACTGGTGGCGACTTTGTGCTAAAGTTTTAGATAAATTAATTGATCTAATTTTACATTAGCTGGAAGAAAAAAATATGGAAATTCCGATTTTTTAAAAACTCAATTAAGTCATATTAATGTATATTTTATTAATAATTACACATTAAATATATCAGAAAATATTATTGATGATAATTATATATTATACTATTATTAGTTTACACTCATGAAAACTGATTTAATATAAATTTATATATTTATGATTTAAGTATTAACTAGTAGTAGTATTTTTATTTTAAAATTATTAAACCAAATCAAAGCATACACTGTACAGCTGGCGTTAAGTGTGATTTATTAACCCTTTTTATTTTGATAATAGTCAGTAATTTTATCTGTGACTGTGTGTGTCGTGGCACGTGCCAGCTTTGCAAACAGTAAAGCTAAAAAACCGTATCCTTCGACCAAAATATTCCCGTCATGACCGGGGACCCTCTCATCCAACGGCTATAATCAAACTCTTTGGTCAATCAACCGTCAGATGTTAATCCAACGGTCCACACTAAATCTAATTCCCTCTCTCTCCCCTTTAAAATCAGACCAAACCCGGTCCAGTTCCCCCTCTCTTGTCTCTCTCTCTCTCTAAACATAGTTAGCTTCACCGTTAATAAAATTCTCCGGTACCGGAATATTAAAAAACGAGAAGAACAAAAATCACCATTCTCAATAGTTACGGATCTCTCTCTCTCTCTCGTGATGCTCAGTACGGTGGTGACGCAGCGGTTAGTGTATTCTCGCCGGAGAAACAGAGAAGTTCGGTTATGACCATAGTCTCTCGCTACAAGAAGCTTTCGTGATCGTGTTTTCGAATTTTCAGAAGAGATGGAAGGAGGACAAGCAAAGCTGACGAGGACACAGTCATCATTGCTCCGATCACCGTCGACGATGGCAAGATCGTCTTTTCAGAGCTTAAGTTTAATCCCTAGCAGCGAAGTCTCTCACCACCAGCAGACACAAGATCTAGAAGCCGGTGAGAAAGAAGAGAAACAGAGAAGAAAACCTCTTAAACCGTTCGGGACAAGTCCTCGAACCGGATTAAACCGAATCAACCCCGGTTTAGCTTTCGTCATGGTTTCTCTTTCCTTCCTCAGCCTCTCGTCTTTCTTCTTCTTCGTCGTGTTCTCCCAAACCGATGAGATTCTCACCTCCGAGAATCTCCTCTTAGCTCTCATCTTCGTCGCCGTCGCTCTCTTCTTCGCCTCCAAGAACATCGCTCTTCTCAACCAAACCATACTCACAATCAAAGCGTTAACCTTCAAGAACCGGTCAAAACCGGTTCAATGGTACATCGGCGATACCGAATCCAAACCGGAGAAGAAGATCAAACCGTTTGTTAAAGAAGGTGTTCAGTTTTACAGCAATGGAGATTTCTACGAAGGAGAGTTTCACAAAGGGAAGTGCAACGGGAGTGGCGTCTACTACTACTTCGTGAGAGGACGTTACGAAGGTGATTGGGTCGATGGGAGATATGATGGTCATGGTATCGAGAGCTGGGCTAGAGGAAGTAGATATAAAGGTCAGTATAGGCAAGGTCTTAGACATGGTTATGGAGTTTATAGATTCTACACTGGTGATTGCTATGCTGGTGAGTGGCTTAATGGTCAAAGCCATGGGTTTGGTGTTCAGTCTTGTGCTGATGGTAGTTCCTATGTTGGTGAATCAAGATTTGGTGTCAAACATGGGCTTGGATCTTACCATTTCAGGTAAATAAATTATTTTAACCAATGCTCAAAAAATCGCTAAGCGGTAATTAGGCACGGAATTAGTCTTTAGTGTCTAGGTGCCGCCTAGACTAATTTTTTATCCGTCTATACCGATTTTTAGAACACTGATTCTTAAAAGACATTTTTTTATTTGTTTGTGTTGTGTAGAAATGGAGATAAGTATGCAGGAGAGTACTTTGGAGACAAGATACATGGGTTTGGTGTGTACCGTTTTGCTAATGGTCATTGTTATGAAGGAGCGTGGCACGAGGGTCGTAAGCAAGGGTATGGTGCTTACTCGTTTAGAACCGGTGATGCTAAATCAGGTGAATGGGATTCAGGGAAGCTTGTAACGTTTCTTCATCCTACTAGCGAGCCGGTTCGTAGAGCGGTTCAGGCTGCTAGAGAAACGGCTAAGAAGGCAGTGAATCGGAGACGAGTAGATGAGCAAGTGAGTCGAGCCGTGGCAGCAGCTAATAAGGCTGCAACGGCCGCAAGAGTGGCTGCGGTAAAAGCAGTTCAGAATCAGATGGATGGTAACTTTTGTCAAAGTTGAAAACAACTTTGGTGGAAGTGTAAATTTTTCTTTTGTTGTTTTTTTTTCCTCTGTGTAGCCCTGATTGAGCTAAAATAATGAAAGCTTGTTTCAGAGGTTTTTACCAGAGTAATTTTCCATGTAACAAACTGTAAATAGCAGAAAAAGAAGGATGAAAAAGATGGTGTTTTTGTCTTTTCTTTTTGTAAATCAACGGCTTGGTGATGGCCTGATGGGGACCTTCTTTATTTGGTTTTGATAGAATCTTTGAAAAGAAGCGATGTTGATTGATATTATGTGATCTTGATCTAGATCACTGACATGTCGCTAAGCTTCCGAATCCCCACAACTTATCGATTAAACTAATAGTCATTGTCGTGATCCAGAACATATCTATTGCATTGATTGATACCACAACATATATTTATGGTCTCTGCTAGTTTGAATCATTCAGCAAGAACACAACATGACAACACTGTATTTGTGATTCATAACTCATAAACCCTTTCCTATGATTTTTGTATTTACAAGTTTGCGGATATATATGATTTGGAAAATGTTTTTAAAACTTTATATATCAAATTATCGTGAATTAGGGATAAGACGTAAATCCATCAATAATAGATTCAAATTATCGTGAATTAGGGATAAGACGTAAATCCATCAATAAAAGATTCAAATAATCGAAGAAACTAAGTTATCATTTACTTGACAACACGATATGCAACCATGTTTTATGTTTCATTTTTAACCATTTGAAAGATTATTTAAGGTATTGCTTAGTGTTGTTTCGAATTATATTAGGACCCTTTTTTAAAAAAAGTTAACTATATATCTAGTGATATAATAAATAACTTTTAAACTTAATATCATTATATATACATATTTACGGTTTTTTAAATGATAAACTATAATATAAGGAATGTATAAAAGTTTAATATTTCAAACTATATTTCTATATTTATTTTTAAATTTTTTTTAGTTTTTATTTTTAAATTTGGGTTATGTTCGACCGCTACAGTAGAATATGTTGTTAGACGTCTTGGTATTGCTAGACACCCACAGTTATTTTAAGAAAAAAAACTTTGAGTTTAGTGTTCCATTTGTATTGGCTTCACTGAAAGGGCAAAATTGAATTCGGTTTCCTTTCGTTACTTAGCAATTTGTATTCTATGTGACAGCAACGTGTACTTAGTTATATTATTATGGATATGGATGAGAATTTGAAACTACTTGATCAATCATACTACTTGATCAATTATAGACAGACATAGACTGCATAGATAAAACTATTTTGGTTTACGGCATGTCGACAATAACACATCCGACGCATACATGTCTCGTCGCATAAAAGAAGTGTTGAAGAAGGCATGTGTCCTTATCGATCATCATATATTGAGGATATCATTTGAGAATTTTATATGATTTATATCCTTATCCTTTTCCCTTTCTTATATTTATAAATTTATATACGCCACTGATCACATGGTTTCTTGCTGGATTGGTCTCCCTTGGCATCAGAATACTCCAAGCCAAGTTTAAAATAGATCTAACATATTAATTCCAGATATTATTTACCCCAAATAATTGCGTATGTTATAAACTTTACTCTGAAATCATTTGTCTGATAATAATTTTTGGTCTAGTCAAAGTTTTTATCTTCAAGAAAGCTTGGCTATGATTTGTCAAACTCTATTTTTAAGAGAGACTGTTTACATCTTCTTTCTTTTTCGGGAGTGAATTTTACCATGTCCTCTATTTACGAGAGGTGGTTTCGTTGGACGAATTTATGAAGGAGCAGCTAGTTTTCAACGTTACAAGATGACCAAGTTTCAATATTTCTGTCTTGATGTGATGCCACGGTCGATGCATTTGACAAAGAAGCTTTGTCTGAATCCATTGTCATCAATCTTTCAGATTTATTCTGTTATATATTTGTTCTCAAATTTTTTTTTTAAATAGACCTTTTGGCAAGAGATCCTGATTTCTCTATGTAAGAATAAGGTAAGTTTAATATAAATCTAGTCTGCACAAAAAGAATACCAATAGACATCTCTGTTTTTTTTTTTTTTGAAACACAGACATCTCTGTATACCATCCCATAGTATAGATGGAATTATAGTGTAAATTATTCCTCAACAATTATAATATATGAGAAATTCGGACTTCTAATTCTGAAAGAAAAAAATTTAGATGTTAACATGATATGATTCCATCTCTATCTTTTTTTTTTTGTGAAACCATCTCTATTTTACAGAAATACAATTTACTACTATAATGTATTAGAAGTTACACATATATTCATGTAACTGCATTTATTTAATACAGCTCCGCATGTAATATTGGTTGACAGCATTTTGACTCAAATGTTGATTTTCAAACATTAGCTAACCACTCCACATAAATTAACTACCCTGCAGAGAGAGAATTACTGGTCTAACACAACTTAATTTTGTTAAATGGTCGACAGCATATGAAGATTCCATAACGTAGTAAATAGAGACATCAGACATACGCACCCATCAATTATTGGTCTATAAGACCTACACTTTTTTGTATAAAAAACATCCATCTATACTTTAATTAAAATTGTATGCTACTCCCTCTGTTTCATTATAAGTGTCACTCTACAGCTGTGCACATGGATTAAGGAAACAATTAATTTTACATATTTCCTATATAAAAACACAATTACCCGTACACCTAACCATATTTTAACCAATAGAAAAACAAATTACATAATAAAATTAATAAATTTTGCATTGAAAACCGAAAACGACACTTATTTTGTAACGCAAAAAACTCTCTACAATGACATTTAATATGAAACGGAGGGAGTATTAACTATGAACAAAATAAATTTATCATCTCTAAGATTCGAAAGCTAAAAAATGTAAATGGGAGAAGTCAGAAGAGGAATGCTTGTTTCGGCATGCATGTTCCTGCCTCTTTGATCTCTTTGATTGCAACATTTATTTAAATGTAAATGACGAATAGTATAATATAAACTCGAATAATCATTGTTATGACTTGTGTGTGTTTTAATGTATTTGAAATTACTTTTAGTGGAGGCATATTTAATTAAAATAAATATTGGTAAAGTTATACTATTAAACGAGTGCATGGATTGCTGAAACTGTTGGTCCAGTGGGGGTGCCATACTGACAAAAAATTAATAACATGGTCAAAGTACGTCTTCCAAGTTACAGAATAATAGCAATACTAAGTGGCTAATTCTTCCATTATTTCAGCACACCTCTTATAAGGGTTGATTTTGGATACTTCAGTTCGGTTTAATATACGTATAACAAGTTGTTTGGTTGTGGGAAAATGGTGAGTCTATGATAAAGCATTACTATACTTTTTAGATAATTTCGATATATTTCTATTATTTCAATAACTTGTTAGTATCTTGAATTTGGGTTACACATACAACTATTTAGAAACTACGGATAAAAGCTCTGTGAGATTTTTTTGTCTATTTTAAAGATAGTATAATACTAGTATCCATATCCAAACAATGCTCGATATTTTTAGATTTTCGAACTCCTCATAATTTGATTTTTTTTTCTAAGATTTGAAATTCAAAAATGAGCAGACAAGTAAACCTCTCCAACGCAATCATCATGTTTACGATAATATTATTGAAATTTATCTTCACTTTTTTTTTTTTGGGGACCATTGATCTTTTGACTTTTATCTTTTAAGTAGGTTACTTACTAAAACATGCAAGCAGACAACATAATTACAACTTGCATTATTTAAGAAAAATAACTCACGTCGCCTTTTCAACTTGATGTCCTAAAATTTAGAGTTTGTCAACTTGCTACGGGCCATTCGACCATTGCCAATTGCCCAATTGATTGGCTCATATTGCCAATAACATTTAAAAATGTTAATAACACTCTTGTTTGCTTAAAGTTCATTAACAACACTACATTAACGGAAATTGTTTCAAACTCCAGTAAAAACACAACAACTCTGGATTAACAGAAATATATATATATATATATACATATATTTATTTATTATTATTTTTTTGAGAAAGGGCTTATTAACAGAAATAGTTTACCGTTTACCTTTTGATTAAACGTGTAATTTCTTTTTAAATGCTACTGGTATATTTGTTTTGGGAAAATTTCAATTTTACCACAAATTTAGTACCACTTTTCAAATTTACCATTAATAAATGATTATTTTCATAAATATTCTAAATTTTTAATAAAATAATACTAAATTAATTTTAAAATATTTATAGAACTTTTATAAACCCAACTCCAACCCCTTAATATTAAATCCTAAACAATAATCACTAAAACCTAAATCTAAATGTTAATATATTTTTTGATTAGTAGTATTTTTGAATACTTAACTTGTAGTATTTCTAACAATTTATTATTTGTTTTTGGTAAAATGCATTTAATATTAAATCCTAAACAATAATCACTAAAACCTAAATCTAAATGTTAATATTTTTTTGATTAGTAGTATTTTTGAATACTTAGCTTGTGGTATTTTTAAATAATTCTAAAATGCATTTAATATTAAATCCTAAATAATAATCACTAAAACCTAAATCTAAATGTTAATATATTTTTTGATTAGTAGTATATTTGAATACTTAGCTTGTGGTATTTCTTACAATTTCTTATTTGTTTTTTTTTTGTAAATATGCATTTAATAATAATGTAAGTGAGTTTTAACTATACTTTTTAAAATAAATAATTCTAATTAGGTACCAAACTATTGCAAAGATTACCTATATTTTTAATTCAAAAATGTAACTTATTGTTATGCAATAAACGCATTGAATTGTGATTTTTTTTTCTGTAACACACATTATGACATATATGACTTTGTAAGTATTTGTATTTGTATGCTTATATATATACTCCCCATATATGACTTTGTAAGTATTTGTATTGGAAAAAGTTCTCCAAGGCACATGATCACGATATATGGCTTATAAAAGTAAGTGAACAACGGGGTTTGGTAAAAGACAAAGCACATGACTCCTAACGTTAATCTAATTATACAATTATATAAACTACTATCTTCATTTTACTAGCAAACAATGATTTGCTAAGGAAGTCTATTTTCTCAATACAGAAGTGTTTGGACTGCAAAGCTTGGCATCGCATGTTTGGTAGCTACTGAATTTTGAAAGCGACCAGAAAACAAAACAATGCCTTGTCTATTTCCACGATTAAAAATGATTATTCTGTGGTTACAAAAAAAGCAATATGTCAAGGGAATGATAAACCATTCGCCACAATTTTCAGAATCAGGATTACTACAAGAAGGAAATAAGTGGTTGAGCAAAGACACGAACCTAATTCAGTCGACTATATTGACTTTCCTTAGTTCTATATATTATCCTAAGCATGATCAAATAATGATTCATTCTGTTGTATAACTTTTTTTGTTTGCTTATATATATATCAGACAACACTTTAGCCAAGTACAGCGTAAGAAACATCATCACAAGTTTTCCTATTTGCTACTTTTTTCTTTATCGAGTGACTTATTAAACACTATATTTCGTGATTTGAAAATTGGAACTCTCTTAGCGCATCATTGTCCAATAAAATTCGGAAGCCAGATCATTGCATATGTTTACAAGCTGAAACTCGATCAACGTGTACCTATTTCCATGCTCAATGCAATTCATAAGCCCATTTACTTTACTAATATTGGGGAACGTCTGAAAGCCCATGGAACCGCAGCCCACAATAACCAAAGAGCGCAAGCAAGAGAGACAAGTCACGTGGCTTTCATAATCCTAAAGTAATGGAGTTTAGATGTCCCTTCTTTGAGAAGGAAATGCTATACAATCTACAAAAGTAGATTCCATGTATAAGCGATATGAATATTAATGTCTTTATCAAATCTTACTACAAAATAAGGGAAATTTCTTACTATTAGCTACTATAAACCAAAAGTGCAATCAGCTTCACTTTCATGATTTAAATTGATTACGCTAGAACATTTAAAATCAGTTTGAATAGTGGTGATGATAGTGGATCATATAAATTCCCCAAGCAATGTGTTCATTATTTACCATACCCAACTTCTTCACGGCACATGAAACAGTGAGATTCCTCTCAATATAGTACTACTACTACATCATAGTATTTAATAAAAACAACTAATGAATTAGGAAAAGTACTGCTCACATCTAACTCGCATTTAATCTTTATATTATCTACATAACTTTACCAAAATCACTTTTTTTTTGAAATTTACCAATATCCTATTGTAATTAACTTTACCATCATCAACAATATCTTGTAACCAATGATTGTTAAGTATCTACAACATGATTAGGTTTACCACGTACGAAAATAAGAAATTCAATGCAAAGGTAATGTGTTGGGTTGCAAAATCATTACATTTTGCTATTCTGCACATATGACATATATACACGTGAATCCGTTGAAAAAATTAACAAAATCTTGATATTGAGCACCGGATTTATTTCATAAACATAATATATATCTTTACAATAATACAACACGCTATTACTAAAATATAATTAAAAGGAAAAGTCACATGAAAAAGTGGAACAAGTGAGAAAAAGGCTTCTTGTTCATGTGATCTTCCTAGACCACCCACCTCTTAACTCCCAAGCGTATTGCAATAATGACTTATAATAGCTTCAATGATATTACAGTCAGTTACATATCCGTCGTCTATTTTCTCCAAGCAACGAACAACTTGAAAAGTATAATTACGACGAAGGTAGATTAATAAAACGTTTTGTTAAACGTAAATTAATTAACATATTAAAAGAATTTTATAAGTTATAAAATATGTATAGTAAAGTATGTATTCTGGACCGTCTGATCAACTGAAACTCCAAAGTGGAATATTAGCATCTTCGTAGACGTACCCATCGACCACATTCGTGGTCGAGTTCAATGGAGGAGAGTAATTAAACGGAGCTCCATCATCGAAGAAGAACATCCCATTATGTCCATCATCATACCATGATGATGATGGATCCATCAAAGACACATGATTGTCCACGAAAGACCCTATCAAAGATTGCATACCATCATCATTATCATCAAGATGTTGATCATGATCGGACGGTGACGAGTCGGCCGATGAAGAAGAAGCCAACATGTCTAATGAGTTGTTGGCAGCTTGAGCGGCAATTTTTTGGATGGATTTAGGGGACAAAATGGTCTTTTCATCTAATAGAAGATGAGAAGAAGCAGAAATAGGGAAGTTGAGATTGGCTTGAGGGCCTTTAAGACACAAGAGTGCAACATCGTAAGCTCTAGCTGCTGCTTCAGCTGTTGAGTAAGAGCCCAACCAAATCCTAGTTTTTTTATTTGGTGCCCTGATCTCAGACACCCATGATCCCCAACTTCTCATCCTCACTCCTTTGTACTTCTTAATCTTGTTCTTCTTGATCTTAGGAGAAGATGAAGAGGAGGATGAAGAATGAGATGGTGAAGACAAAGACATTTCCTTCTTGGTGCTGGTTTGGATCTTGGGTTCTTGTTTCACCATGGTGAAGTTGTTGTGTGTATTGATCAGAGATTACGTAGATTGATTGAACAATGTGGTATTTATCACGTACGTGATTGTTCTTGATTGTTTGTTGTGATAGATAGAGATTTTCTGATGAGTGTTAATGTGAGGTGAGGGAATTATATATAGAGATATAGAGTATACTGATATGGGAGACAAAGGGGTGAAATATTATTTTATTGACATAAATCTAAAATAGGGTCAAATGTGATATAGTATGGTTTATTGTGTTTGAATGTGACATTTTGGTGCATGACAGATATTTTATATTATTTTTATTTATGTTTGTCATAGCAAACTGGCAATCGTCATTAATACAAATTTGTTCCTTTCTCATTTAATAAATAAATAAATAAAATTTCTTTGGAATCTAATTATTAATTCGATTTTGGAAGCATGTTAAGTGTTCGAAGTTCGAACAATGAACCTGAACATGGCTTTCTTTTAACCTTTTGCTAGATTTGCATCTTCTTATTCATTTTCTGTAATGTTTCTTTTGAACACCTATTTTCTGTATTGTTAAATGGGGTAAATTCAAAATAGAATGACTAAAATTTAGAGGAAACAAGCACGTTTCAAAAAGAAATTAGAGGAAACTACATATGTCCATTTGTATGCTATTACGTAAACTATTGTCCATTACAGGAAAGCAAATTATGTTTGATGATATGTTATAGATAACTTGTTTAATCATCTGTTATTCCGCAATTTACTGAACCCTAATTGCACAATTGTGTATGTGTCTATACTTTACGGTTTGTATTGTTACCGATACGAATTTGATAGTTGTCCGGAAGCCACTATTGCTTGGAATAGTAAATAGCTGTACGGAAGTCGGAAGCCACTTGATGAGCAAATCAAGAAGTGATTCTAAATACAATATTATTAGATTGAGATATCAGTTTTCTTTTATATTAATTAACTACAAGTAGCTATCACCACTATCAGGAGATTGTAGATTACAGCTACATTTAACGCGTTAAGTCATATACGATCTTTCCAAGAAGTAGATGGTTACTTATTGGTTGTTGTAAGAAAAATGTTTAGTTATTGGTCCATGTTTATTAGTATTAATCTAAACTATTAAAACATGAAATCTAATCCAGGGCGGAACTACGTTTGAGTCAACTGCCCCCAGTCAATTTGAAAATGTTATAAAGTTTTTACCCAAATATGTAAATAATACTTTGTCAACTAAAACCTTTTGTTGAAATAGTTATTATCGTACTGTATTTCACAAATCCAATTTAATATTTAATAAATAATGTAGCAAAATATAACGAAAATAATATAGAAAGTAAGAAATGAGAAGGAAGAGTGAAGTAAGAAGAGTGGCAGAAAATGCTGATGCTATAGACTTGATAAGATAGTGACTTCAAATTACAGCTGTTTTCAATCTGTCTCTCTGCTAACCAAACCGCGTTATCTCTCGTCACATTCACTCCTAATCAATTATACTATATGCTACAAGACTGGTATAAACAATTGAAAACGAGATAATAATAAAGCATATAAAGTTTTAAGACGCGCAAAGATGCACATGATCTTATGTAATAAAGATGGGAGGTGACATGTTCTTTGTGGACAGCCTTGACTTCTTGACAAAGCTTATGAATAATCAATCATGGGATGGTACTTTTGTTCTCTTCGTCTTGAGATTTCAAACTTTGATTTTACGCAAAATTCTCCAAACTGTCAGAGAGAAAAAGAAAATATGGGCTAGATTTGTCAGCTTTCCAGCAAAAAATATGCGTATGCATGAAGAGAAAAGAAGCATCTGGATCGTGCCTTCTTTCAGTTTCACTTTTGAATATTAACACATGTAATTTCTTGTTAGAAAACCTTTTCTAATATGTCATGATCCTATCAGTTTTAGTAGATACTCCCTCCGTTCCACAATATAAGATGTTTTATCCAAAGCACTAAGAAACTTAACTTTTTAAAAGATAACATCATTAATAGTATAAATTTAAAACAAATTAACCAATCATAAATAATAAACTAAAATACTATTGGTCAACCGGTTTTCTATAAAGTTAAAATACCTTAAAAATATCAAAACATCTTATATTTTGAAACATCAATTTTCTCTAAAACATCTTATATTATGAAACGGAGGGAGTACACATTTAGTGACTGGTTTAAAGTAAACTTTTCCCTACAGAAACTAACACATTCTGACGAGTTTAAAATGCTTTCAAGCGAATATCACCTATTATTGAACTACGGAATAAATTACATGGACCGAACCCAAATCTATTCTTCTTACATAATGCGACTTTAATTTATGAAAATTTTATCTGTGGAAATTCAGAGTTAAACAATAAATAAGAAAAAAACTTGTCAATATATGAACTATGGAATCGATGTTTATTTATCATAATTTTCTCTTAACTTAATTACATTCGAAATCTAGTTTAAGAATTGAGAACTATCATATATATAATTGTCCAAAACTATCTATGTTATAATGTGGGAAAATTATAATAACCACCAAATCTTTTATTTGTATATCCCAGATCTATGATTTAGTCGGTTTTGAAAAAGTTAAAATGAGGTGGGGACATAAAACATGATATCTCATACGTCATATGCTGATATGCATCATGCATGTTTCGTAAACAACAAAAAAAGACTCTTACATAGTTGTTCCTCTTGCAAAAATAAAGATTTTTCTTTTATTTGGTATTTGAATTTCACGTTGTGATCCTTCAAACTCAGGATCATATATATTAATAAAACGTTTGGTATAGAATATAACATCGTTCAGACTTCATTGAACCGGGCGTAGTAACAAGCATGTCAATGAAAAAAACCATAACAAGAAAGATCGTTGACAAATAATATTTGCGCGGGAGGGCACGGCAAGCCCATTTACAAATTTTATGGGCCAAATAAATAATCATGGTCCAATAGACAAATGGAAAACCCTCTTAATCGCTCAGAAGTAAGATCAACCGATGACGCGGCACCTCCGTTAAAGATACGCCACGTCAACAATTATTCACATTCTGATTGGCTGATCTTACGTTGAAGCAAGTCACCTAAAACCCAAAACACTTCCCACTCGCGTCATTTAAGACACACGCGGCGCGTGAACTCTCTTTTGTCTTCGTGTTTTGGTTTGGTTTTGGAAGTACTTTGACTTTCTCTTCGTCTTAATTTGACTTGGTAGGGGGTAAAAGAGAAGAAGACCGTCGTTTTTCTCCGATGGCGATTAGAGGAATCCTCACGATTTCAACGGTGGTTTGGTTTCTGCTGACGGTTAATTACAGCGAAGCTATATGGTTAACGATTCCGGCGACGGGAGGGACTAAGTGCGTCTCGGAGGAGATACAGAGCAACGTCGTCGTCTTGGCTGATTACTACGTCGTCGATGAGCAAAATCCTGGAAACACACCTGCTGTTTCTGCTAAGGTACGGCTCCGAATCAGACACATGTGTATTGGATTTGAGTTTAAAGTTGTGAACTTTCTGTCGGTAGCTTTTGTAATGATGCAAACTTGGTTTAGTTTGCATGTTGGGTCATGTTAAAGACTTATGTTGTCTTTGAGTTTTTGCTTTGTCTGATTATTTCATTTTTTTTGTGTAGGTAACATCTCCTTATGGGAACGATCTTCATCACCAAGACAATGTAACGCATGGTCAGTTTGCGTTCACAACTCAAGAAACAGGGAACTACTTGGCTTGTTTCTCGGTTGATTCAAGTCATCAGCTACCTAATCCATTGACACTTGGGATTGATTGGAAGATTGGTATCGCTGCTAAAGATTGGGACTCTGTTGCTAAAAAGGAAAAAATCGAGGCATGTTACATTACATCTCTTCTTCTTTTTTCTTTCTGATTTTGAACTTCATCGTTATGAATATGTGTATTGTTTCTGCAGGGTGTTGAGCTTCAGTTAACGAGACTTGAGGGATTAGTTCAGGCGATTCGTGAGAACATCGATTATATAAAGAACAGGTACGTTTCTATTATCTTCGCATTGAGTGTTATACAGTGATATGGTTAAAGCAAATTTTGGATTACAGGGAGGCGGATATGCGAGAAGTGAGTGAAGCAACCAACTCAAGAGTGGCTTGGTTTAGTATAATGTCACTTGGTGTTTGCCTTTCCGTTGCGGGTGTACAGATATGGTACCTGAAGCGATATTTCCACAAGAAGAAACTCATCTAAAGACTTTGGCTTGAAGGATAACTTTGCTATATTTAGTAACATCACAGACTCTCTCACTTTGTAAAGAGGGAAAAGTTTCAAAGTTTGTAGAGGCAACTAGTTACAATTGAAGAACTCATTTTCATTTTATCTTCTCTGAAACATTATATTGGTAGTTTTAGGCCTGCGGTTGTTAACAAATCTGTCAGATTTTCGGTTTGGTTCGGTTGAATTCAGCAACTAAAAAATTGTTAACCAAAAACTAATCCGAACCAAATTTCTTTACTGTTCACTTCTGCGAGATTTCGACCATTGAATTTGTTGTGCACAGTTCACTGTGTTCTGACTTATTTCTGTTGGAGTAGGAAATGTAGGTATGTGACAATGCACCAAAAATTTCTGCGAGACACAAACTTAAGATAATAAATAAAGAGTGTTTCGGTTTTACTCATCAAGAATTCATTCTCACACAGGAGTTTTAATGCGGAGGGAAAATAAACAAATTGTTGTTGTTGATGAATCAACATGACAAGACAAAGGAGATGGAGATGACACACATGATAAAGAAGTAGCTAAAAGAGGAGACAGTGGCGGTTGAGATGCTTCCAGCTGGACCATTAGCAGGGTTACCTGAGAAAGAACCACCACCTGGAGGAATCACAGACGATCCTGGTGAAGCTGCTATTGATCCTGGACCATCATAATCCGGTGAAGGCGCTGGTGCATACATTAGATCCTTAGGTACAGTATCTGGTGGAGCTAGAAGCGGTGCAAATTGTTGTGGCCCTGCATTTATATAATCACATTAGGACCGGATGATGATTCTAGCAAGCTGGTTATAAGAAACAAGACATGTTTAACTTACCGGGACATCGTGGTTGTAGAGATTTAGACAGCCTGCAAAATCAGAGGAGAGAAAGAGATGGTTAAGTACTAAATAGTCTTGAGATAAGAGGTTAAGGTAATGTGAGTTTACTTACATTGTCAAGATGGTGCCGTTGGCGAAACCATTGTAATCACAAGTTGTTACATTACAGCCACCACTACTCTGCTGGACCGTGATGTTACCGAGCATGAGGTTGCTGTTTCTACATTGCATACTTGAGCAAGATACGGCTAATGAAGCTGGCTCACAATACAAACTGCATCACTCACACACACACACACACACCACAACCAATTAACATAAGCCTGAGAGAAGTAAGTAAGGAAGGAGAGTATTTTGGATATTGTTTTTACCTGCGGCTCCCAAGCGCACAGCTGCATTGCACACAATGACCTGCAGCTAGAGCGTAGCTACCATTTGGAACAATCAATCCGTAATCCGAAGCATACTTGGGAAAATTAGAAGCACAAGCTGAAGAAGATACACAACAACACATTAAAACAGAGCTCAGCAAACCATAAAAAACACCACAAAGACTCAAACTTTTAGCAGCTCACAACTCACACAACACAAAATGCAATTAAACAACACAAAAGGAAACAACGCTACACCAAAAATAGAAACTACTTCCCCATTTATATAAACCTCTAAAGACAAGCCTAAGCTGTGACAGATGAACAAGATACACAACCAAACATTAAAACAGAGCTTACAAACATTAAAAACACTACAAAGACTCGAACTTTTTGGCAGCTAAAACTTACACAACACAAAATGCAATCAAACAACAATAAGGAAAACAACTCTACACCAAAATTAGAAACTACTTCCCCATTACATAAACCTCTAAAGATAAACACAATCTGATACAAGGTGAAGAAGATAACCAAACATTAAAAACACCACAAAGACTCAAACTTTATGTCAGCTCAAAACTCACAACAATCAAAGGTCCCAACTTGGCAACACTAACAACATATAAACCACTAAAGACAACAACTTAAAAAAAAACAAACCTGACAAAGGAACAGCGAGGATATCACCGACACTAACATCAGGAGCACCCATAGCATTCACATTCATCAAATCCGTAACAGTAGTCGAATACCTCCTCGCTATCCCCGCCAACGTATCCACACCCTTCACCACATACGACAAATAAACCGCCGGCAACGAATTATCACTCCCGTTAAAGCAAGCACAAGGCAAGGGGACAACAAGACTCGTCCCGACATCAAGCAACGAAGGGTCGTTAACCGAGTTAGCTTCCTGGATCTGCTCGGAAGAGACCAAGCCTCCGTAGACAGAGTCTGCGATGGAGGCAAGAGTGTCCGAAGGTCGGGTCTTGTAGTGCGTGGAGACGGATTTGCGTATGCCGTCGACGCAGGAGCAAAGGATTGGGATTTTGAGGAAGAGGTTTGCAGGGAGGATGTGGTTTTCGACGTCTGGGTAGGAGATGTCGATGGCGTTGGCGAGGAGGACGGAGATTGGGTCTACTTGGAAGAGGGAGGCTACTTCCGAGACTTTGAGGTCTGTGTAGAGTGTGTAGCCGAGTAAGGAGTTGCAGGTGTCGTTGCTTGAGCATGGCTCTATGGTTGATTTAGCTCTTGTTGTTGTGATGAAGAGTGAGGTTGAAGCTAAGAGGAGGAGTAGACACAAGTGGAAGATGGGGTTTTTTGGAGTTTTCATTGTTTCTTTTAGGGTTTAACTCTCTCTCTCTCTCTCTCTATTACAGAACAATGGAGTTTATGGGGTTTGGTAGAGACAGAATCTTTCTTATCTCTGGTTTACTTCTTCTTGTTGAAGAGAGAGAGAGTTTGAAGAAAAGTGGAAACTTTTTTGAAAGGGAGGAGAGAGAGTAGTAGACAAATGTATAGTGCAGAGTGAACAGAGAAGGGTAGCTTTGCGATCTTCAAGACAACAAAGACAGACTTTTGTTTTTGTTGTGACTGATATACCCTTTGCTCCATTACTCGTTTGAACGGTTTTATACAACTGTTATAGAATGAAAGCTAATAAATTTTTGAAATGGAAGGGTAATGGAGTTAAATTGTTTGACAAAAGCTGAGGCCCACTTAAAAAGGCCCATTTGACTTTTAGAGAGAACTTAAAGCAAGGCATCTTAAATAGCTTTACTTTGAGAGGGCTTAAAAAATATTCTTTCCCTCCAAATATGGTGTTAAGCTTTTGGCTACCAACCTAAGAGCATTTTCTCAAAATGAGATTCTAGATATTCTAGTATAGAACTTTAATATAATGTAAGGACAAATACAAATCTACTAATATTTAAGGAATTTTAAGGCAAATCTCTAAATAACAGTTAATTTTTTCTTTTTATCACAATTAGCATTCCAATGATAAAAATTCTTAAAATAGAAAAATATTAAATTCTATAATTAATAAATCCTCATTCTACTATGTTCCTTTGGATACTAAATTATAAAATTCAATCACTAAATTTTAAACCGAATATTAAATATATATTTATCATTTATCTTTAGTAAATTCTACTTTGCAAAACAAAAAAAAATGATTGTGTGTTAATCTAATAATAAAAACATGTTTTACTGCTATTTAAGAATATTTTTCAAACCTAAACAACTTAAAACAAAACAAATGTGTTTTCATGAGGTCTTCACAAGTTCATATGTGAGAAACTCTTTTCACTCTCTTTTTACTTTTTGATTAATTTCATTTTATACTTATATTGTTGAAATAATTGGTGAGATTTCTTCAATGCAGTTAATATAAAGGGCAGAAAAAATCCTTTTTCTTCAACTAGAGTTTTTCGAATGCTGGTTAAATGTAATTTTTGAAAAATTTATCCTTGTGTTAGAGCTTAGAACATGACTTAACGTGAAATCACAAGCATAATTGAAAGATATCGAGTTAACAGTTGCTCCATGGCTTGAAGAATTCAAATACACCTTAACATGTTCAATCTTTACCCTCGACTTTATCATTAACAAGAGGAATCATCAGTTCCATCTTGGTCCTTGGAGTACAAGGAGTCCTAGGAGTTCCAGGTTGCTGCTGAGAAAGCATATGACTTACATATCCATAAAACGTGCATCCCACAAGTGTGATTCCACATCCAACACCATTCATCGGTGATATCGGGTTTCGGAATATCATCCATGAAACCAGAACAGCCACTGCGACCTACAAATCATCACATTAAAAATATGGAGTTAGTTTTACATATTGTTTGCAACAGCAAAAGAAAAAGGTTAGGATCTTTTTGGCTTTTACCTTAAGGTTCCCAGCTACATTGAATGTAACTGCTGCTGTGGAGTGAATGACATAGAAGATTGAGAAGTTAAGACAGAAAGCTACAACACCTGAGCTGAATATAATGATGAGAGCCGACCATGGAGATGGGTGTGCTTCAAACCAATCCAAGATCCCATTCCCTTCGAGTAGAAAGGCTGGTACTCCGAGAATCATTGTCGCAAAAGGCGCCATGTAATACACCGTGTTGATGCTAAAACATAGAGACATGATCACAACAACGAGGAGGAAACAAACACTAAACCGGATCTGGAACATTAACTTTTAACCCTAATTTTTTTTGGAGGTTATATACATAGACATAAGCTTACAGATTATTTTTAAAAATTATTAAAGTTCGTAGTAAATGTTTGTGACACCTAAAATCTCAAATCCAGCCCTTGAATTTAAGGAAACAGAAAACTAACCTATCAAATTTGTAACCGTGAAGAAGAGATTCAGCAAGAATGGTCTTAGTAGAGGTAGCTAAACATCCAAACAGAGCAGCACAGAAACCAAACACGTTAAAGCTAAGTTCTGTAATAGAAGTCAGAAGAATCCCTCCAACAATAGGAACCAACGACGCCCATATACGCCAATCGAAATACTTCCTCCACACCAACCATTGTAACACAACTTCCCTCACCCAAAAAAAAAAAACAATCAGAACAAGAAACAAAAGATCATTGTGTTTCTTGTTGTGCAAGTATTCAAAAAAAACCTGTTGTTGCTGGAGTAAAGGATTTAATTGTCTGCATGAAAGAGACAGGGATGTATCTAAGACTGATGTTTCCCAACACAATGTTGATACAAAAGACGAATGACATTGGGAATATTCTTTTCCATCGGTCTTCTGGATCAACAACGATCAATGGTTTAATCTTCAGGACTTTGATCACAATGTATGCTCCAATCGATGAACATATGAAATGAACGCATGAAACCGACAAAGGGAACTTAAAATCCAGTTTCTGCAACATAATTTTTCAATCAAAAACCGTCTTAGAAAAATGCTAAACTCATTTTGTACGAGAAGTTGTTGTTATGTACCTGGAAGATCCATTTGTTCATGATGATAACAGTAACGTTGAAACCCCACCATTGAAGAATGGCTAAAAGAGATCTGATCATGCTCCATTGATGCCAAAGACTACCTTCCTCCATCATTTCTTTTCTCACTCTCTAACTCAGTTTTAATGAATCATAGAGAAGAGAAAGAAGATGAGGAACATTTAGGAAGGTGGCTAATGAGAAGCTAAATAGGAAGGGGAGTAACGGTTTCCATGCGATTTGTTTCGGGTTTTCTTCTCTTGTCTTCATCAATTCTAAACGTTTCTCTTTCTTGTTGCCATGAAGATACTGTTTTGTTCTTACGTAGGTTTCCTTGTGATTAAGGAAACTTCCCCTTTTTAATGCTAATAGTCATTTAATAACTAATATTTAACCAATTCAGTGGTTACAAGTTCAACTTACTATAATTTAAAGAAATAAAAGAGAATAAATTACAAGTTCTAACTGTTGTCCGATAGAAGAAACTTATTTTTCAGTGAAAAGAAACTTCATTAGACTTTGCGACAACTGATAGTGTTCTAGGATCGGAAAACAGTAGGGCATAAATGATAATTATAAAATGCTGATTGTTATCTTCATCACTATTATGTGTTTAACTACCATAAATGTTAAATGAATACTATAATTTCTTTCTTTTTGTTTAGAATTGTGTATAAGACAATTTGGTGAGTAATGTTGAATACTTGAATTTTTTTTTTTTTTTTTTTTTTTTTTTTTTTTTTTTTTAACCCAGTATCCGACCACAAAGCGTGATCGACTAGCCCACCGGGCCTAAGCCCATGCCATGACAGGATTTTTAAGCGTCCACTTAAGGGCCCCTGGTTACGCAAAGTGGTCTGGAGCGCCACACCAACTCCGCATGTAAATTATGTGGTGGCCGGGATTCGAAGTCGGGTGGCGGGCACCTCAGCCGAGGTTCCTTTACCACCAGTTGAATACTTGAATTGAATAATAACTTTTAACGGTTCGTGATGTAAATCGGTGAAGCTTTTAGTCACAGACTCACAAGATCTCTAGAGATCAAAATAGACGTAATCGTCTGATCTCGATCGCTAGTGTGGTCTTATCCTATTGTTTTCTAGTCTTTTCACATGTGATGCTAAAAGCTTGAATTTAAAACACTTTAACAAAAGAAAACTATAGGATTAAAAAGAAAAATCGAACTGAAAGCAGAAAATTGACCAACAATTATATGATGCCCATACTATAGAAGTTCCATAACAAGAACATGACTTGAATCCTACCCAAAGATTCCCATTCCTCCCATGTGCTACTCTTTTTAGTTTTTATTTTACTTCACCTTTCTATATTATAAACTTTTTTTTTTTTTTCTTATGTGACATCTAGATAACGTTGTAGGGATTTTTCATTTCCCTCCAAAACTGATAAGGTCTTATACTTATTTTTTTTTTAATTTTCTTAAGTGATCAATTAAATTTAAAATAATCTACAACAATTTTTTAGGATTTTTTTTGTTACAGATTTTAACTACTTTAGATTATTTTCTAGTACTCTTATAGTTTTCATAAAATTTGCATAAATGTTGAACCTTGGACTTTCTTTTATGTCACGTTTTCGGACCAATCCGATCGAACCAGTCCATATTGGTTTAAAAGCACTGATAATGAAGTCATATGCCGAGATATTATGGATGTAATGGTTAAAGACATAATAACTTTGATCATTGTGAGTCATGATACATTGTAAAGAAAGTATGTGGGATGGTCTAATTGAAAAAGTGATGATACATTGAAACTCATCACTACACAATCACATCACATGTCAATGTCTTGTTTCAAGTGTTGGGGTGTTTTATAGAGCTCTTGATATTGAAGCCTGTCTCTACCTTCTCCCTTTTTAGATCACGTGAACGCTCAAAAATCTTGACCTACACGTAAAATGGATCCCTTTATGTTCTCACATCCAACCCCTCAACTTTATGATCAATTAGGTCAATATAGCTCTCAAGCTTTAATTACTTATTCCCATTTGGATAAGCACGTGATTTCAAGTTTGTGAGGACATATAGAATACCTAAATTTGTGCAATTTTCAAGATCATTAGCAAATAAGGAGAAGTTTCATCAAACCCTAAAATAAATCTGATTTTTGTTTCGCCCAAAGAAGAAAGAAGTGTAGATGAAGCGATACGTGGTCTTGATAATGCAGATTTTGCCCATGTGATGTGAGATAGCCACTTATATTTGAGAAGCAAACATAATAATTCTCGCACGAAAATAACTAAATTAAATCAATTTATTTATATAAACACACATGAGTCGAATTGTTTTAGTTTCCAACTGAAACTTTAATTAAATGATGAAGTTTAAATGAAATTTGAGTTTATATATTTATAAAAAATACTTTATATTTATGTTATAATTTTAAACTGTAGACTAAGGGTTTAGTGATTCTGTAAAAATAATTTTGTAAAACGGAAGAGATGTTTAAAAGAAAATTATTCTATGTGCAAGTAAAACTGGCCAAACATGAATTCTAATATAATTGTTCAGAGTAGTGCAATCATACATATCTTTTCGTAGAGCAAATATAATTGTTAACTGTATAGTAGTCTATATATGTAATCTTTTTATAACTGTTCTGCTATAAAGAAATCAGTGCTAGAAAAAGACATAATGTCAAATTAAACTCTTAAAAGACTATCCCAGGATACCAATAATCATATAGATCATTAACAAATATACAAGATCACTTCTATAATATTAATAATTAGAAGACAAGAGGGGAAGTTAGTGCTATCAAGTTTAAAATATCGATCGATAAATCTTATTTGTGGCTACGTTTCATCGTCTTCCAACGGTTTGTGTGGAGAGTGAATTCTAATTAGATGAATGATAAGTTGATAACATTTATGTATTCGCTACATAGCATTTTTGACGAATAATTTTGATGGAATTTGACATAAAATTATGTTAGCTGCCAAATAAAAACTTGAAATTAAGGTGAGAGGATAATCAGATATAATAGAGTTGAATAATGTCCGAGTATGGAGATAGACCTCAAAATCATTCACACATATCAAAGAATGATGACTTGTCTTGGTAGGTCCCTTGTATTTGGGATACATTCTCTTCTGAGTTTCGAAAACTACAAGTGGATGTTTCTCGGCCAAAACGTCCAAACTTTTTTTAACAGAAAAAGGAAAGAAGAATATTTTTGTTTCTGTTCACAGTATATATATTTTCTAGATGATTAGTTTTAATTAATATATGATGCACATGCCACATATCCACATGCGATCAATCATCCATCGTCAAGTATCTGTTTTAATTCTATATCTGGCAAGAAGATCGGGACACTCTTCGTCTAATCAGTAAACTGATACAAAAGATGGATTCAAATTATTAATTACTTGCTGAATCAACGTTCCTAGATACTACTAAAATCGGTCAATGATATCATAAATACTTTGATATGTTCATTTTACCAAAAAAAAACAAGAAACTTACACAGTAAACTCGAGATCTGTTCTTTGATAAACCGATGCATGACTTATTACACCAATTTACTTGGGCTCAAAAACTAAAATATAAACTTTAAGTCTAGTTTTGTTACAAAAAAAAAAAAACTTTAGGTCTAGTATATATATAGATTAATTTTCTAGATTGTCAGTATCTGAAAACTATGATGTCCGTAGGATCTACTAATTAAAATAAATCAGCCTATTAATGGATTATAGATTAGATATTAATTAAAATGTAATCATATATAACTAAAAGGCTAGTCTTTTTCTTTACGTTCGTTTATTTCGGGCTACTAAAAGGCTTATTTACTTGGGAATATTATGCAATATAAATAAAAATATATTTGATATATATTACAAAGCTTCAATTTCAGACCTAAGCACATCTCATTTGTTACGAATCTTATCTCTCTCTCTGTCTCTTCTCTCTCTCTTATTTCGTCTCTCCTTTGGTAGTGAAGATGGATATGTACAAAGATGATACCTCCCCATACTGTTATTTCCATCCAAAGGAAGAATATGTTGGAGTGTGTCCTCTCTGTTTGAACGAGAGGCTTCTGGTTTTAGCTTCAAAGCAGAGATCATCAAGAACCAGACACTCTTCATCTTCACCAATCATTAGCCTCCCTAAGATCTTCACCTTGAGCTCTCTCCTCAGTCGCCTCGATCTCCGTCACCACCGGCAATTCAATCCCTCTTCCGATCTTGACGCCTCCACAAGCCAAGAAGGTACACAACTTTAAATATACTTTTTTTTTGAACAACACACAACTTTAAATATACAATATACTTAATAAATGCATGTATATACTATATAAATAACATACATTCATATTGTTGTAATATCATCATGATTTCAAAGATTTAATTACAATTGGATATTTTTTTCTTCTTTTTCATGTTTTTGTAAAAGGCTAATTCTTCCTGTCTTTTTTTTTTGTCAAAGTCCTTTTTCTTCCTCTTTTTTCCATGTTCATACTAGCAAATTTCCTTTTTTTCCAAATATGAAGGTTTTTTTTTTAACTGAGAAAAAAAAAACAAATTCGTGGACGTCTTAATTGCTGTACAAAATTAATATATCACTGAATTTTATTTGTTCCTTTTGTGTGTGTATGTTCAGATTCTTTTATATCAATAAAATTCGAAAATGATGGAAACGCGTCGTGGGAGAGGAAAACAGCGTCAAAGGTTTGTGTAGACAACACAAACTCAACATGTAAGAAAGAGCAAGCCCCTATCACGAGCACTACGAGTATCGTAGAGCACAATAGTGCCAAGCCATCTCTTAGATGGCGCAAACGCATTGGTCATCTTTTACAGGTCATCAAGCTCAGATCAGGACTGCCCATCTCTTCTTGTCATGTGGCATCCTCCAAGGTCGAAGGAACCAAAGTGAGAAAACAAGGTTGGATGGTTAGGACCTTAACCAGAAGAAAATCCAGAAAAAGTAAAACTTGAATTTTTAATTTCATATATTTATTTATTAAACTTAGACAAAGTTTTTATTTTTTTATTTCTAAGTTTAATATTTGGTTTGGTCGTTATATCAATGATTGATGCTTTTGTTTAAAGAAGTAATACGTTGAAGCTCATGTTGTAAGTAATGATAATACATGGATTGAAAAGAGACTGGTAAAATAAATTGTTAAACTTATATGGTATATCACATATAATAAAGCACATATATATAATACGTTCATGTGTGTGTGTGTAAAAGGGACAAGAGGCTTGCCCTTTAGAGCATCTCCAACCCCACTCCAAAACCCACTCCAAACTCCATTTTGCAGTAAAATCATCTCCAACCCTACTTCAAAACTCACTCCAAAATGGAGTAACAAACATGATTACTCCAAATATGGAGTAAACCAACTCATTACTCCAAAATGGAGTTGAACTTTTTTATTTATCAAACAGTCCTCCACATTTATATATGTTTCATTTTTAATAAAATATTG